CCGCCACTCTACGTGCACCGCCGCCGCCCTCGGCACGTGACATCCGCCCGCTGACACGCCCGCGACACGCCCACGCCGCGTCTGCAGGCGGCCCCTGCAGAGGAGCTGGCGGAGTCTGACGGCCTCTTCCCCGCGCCGGGCGAGAACCTTCCCTGAACCTTCTCTGAGCCTTCTCTGAACCTTCCTGTAGGCCTCTTCCACGCGCCGGGCGAGAACGGGCACGGCGGCGCGCAGGAGGGGTACGCGGCGGAGGGGTACCCGCAGGAGGGGTACCCGCAGGAGGGGTACCCGCAGGAGGGGTACCCGCAGGAGGGGTACCCGCAGGAGGGGTACCCGCAGGAGGGGTACCCGCAGGAGGGGTACCCGCAGGAGGGGTACCCGCAGGAGGCGGAGTACGCAGCGGAGGGGTACGCGGCGCAGGAGGGCGAGGTACCCGCGGCGGAGGGCCCGGCGGAGTCGGCGGACCAGTACGCTGCGGAGCAGGAGCAGTACGCGCAGGAGGGGTACCCGCAGGAGGGGTACCCGCAGGAGGGGTACCCGCAGGAGGGGTACCCGCAGGAGGGGTACCCGCAGGAGGGGTACCCGCAGGAGGGGTACCCGCAGGAGGGGTACGCGGCGGAGGAGGAGTCCGCCCCGCATCAGTATGCTGCTCCGGACGGGCCCCCAACCCACCTCGCCGAGCAAAGCGGCGCGGCCGACGGCGCGGCCGAGCAGCCGCTGCTGGATGAGTACCTCGCGGCGCCGCCGCCGATCGAGTCGACTGCGACGCCCGCGTGGCTGCACGATGCGGAGGCGTTCCAGGAGACGGCGATGCTCGACCAGCTGCACGACCCGTCCCTCGCCGGCACGCCCCCTCTGACGACCACGCTGAGCGAGCCCGTGGCGGCGGGCGCGACTCGGCTGGCGGTCGCCGACACGGCCGGCTTTGGCCTGGGGGACAAGGTGCAGATCGGGACGCCACCCCTGGCGGAGCTCCGCCTCGTCGCCGCCTTCGGCTCGCTCATCGTCGACTCGCCGCTCGCTCTCGACCACCCCGCAGGCCGCCCCTCGGCCGCACCTCGGCCGCACCTCGGCCGCACCTCGGCCGCACCTCGGCCGCACCTCGGCCGCATCTCGGCGAGACTGGCTCTTCAATTCGTCCGTTGACTCGCTCACCCCCCCCCCCCCCCCCCCAAGGACCGCGGTGGTGCAACTCGAGGCGGCGGAAGCGCCGCCCCTCTTCCGAGGCGGCGGCGGAGGGCTA